GAAAAGGGAAAAAAAAAAAAAAAAAAAAATCAGACATCAACCAAGAAAAGAAACAAGAAAATCACTCGAGATCATTTCAGGTGTGTAAATAGACAAGACTGGAAAAACCTACCACAAGATGAATTTGTCTCTGATTTCCCCTGTTCAATTACTCACAGATTCTTTCAAAACAAATAATTAAAAGAACAAAAGAGAAAACTCCAGCTCAAGATTATCGCAAAAAATCACAAATGATCTACGTAACGGGTTTAAGCAAATGACGGAAGTACTCGGCCTGGAAAAAAAAAACATAGTAAAATTAACCATACAGTTCCAGGATGTCAATGATCTTCACAGAAAGGAAACAACTTATCAGAAGAATGGTGATGAAGACAGTAAATTCAATATCCAAACTAAATCGCTATGAGTATAAAATCGAGAGAAATCAAAGGATCAGGAAGCCAAGCTGCGCATACCTGGCAATTCTGCAGAGGTTGAAAACATGCAATCACTTTGACTATAATTGTTGGCTTCCCTCCAATCCCATTTTCATGTTTCAAAGCCCGAAATCGTGTTTGGCTAGCTGCTTGGCACACCATAACTACTTTTGACCCTTTATTATGCTAAACAATGAATATGACGTGAGACAGAATGGAGTACACAATGGAACGAGGGCGAAGTAGGTTTGTCGAAGTTCAGAGTACACCAACTATCAAACATAACACAGGGGAAACGAACAAAAGTAGAGGAACAGAAAATATTTAAGCAAACTGAGAAGAAATTCGATCGAAGTCCTAGAATTGGAATATGGAACAAAGGCCTGTGTTAAAATTCAGACAGTATGCTCGTTCAGCTGATGTATATATCAGAGGCAACTATAAAAAAGTGATTGGATCCCATGGTTAGATGATATGAAGTAGATAAAACTGAAGAAGGAACGGTTCAATGAGACGAGAAACGATTTATAGTATAACCCAGTAACATATTTTCAGGCGCACAACTTTGTGAAACACGTCGACAGTAGAACTCGACCAAGCCATATTATTGTTCCTATGCAGTTCCGTTATCCCCCAGTACTAGCTCTAATCACAGCAATAAATTTCCTGCAAATTCGCAAGATCGTAATCCAGTGTTCAGCATTAAAACCTCCACACAAAAGAAAAAACAAAGGAACAAATAAGAAGCTAGCTATATCTAGCTCAAATTTGAAGACTCATAAGTGAAATTGTCCTCATTTTTTGTCTAGACAAACATATGAGATGAAATGTGAGTATTCTCAATCTCTAAGACAAGCCGCACAACCATCTTCGCAGCTCTACAGAGATAAAGGAGGAAAGTTCTCTATCATATTCTCCCTTCTCCCCTTTTATAACAGCCCAAGCCCCTGCTACCCGATATTGTCCTACTAGGGAGAGGTTTACATGCTCATATAAAGAATGTTTTGTTCTCCTCCCCAACCGATGTGGGATCTCATAGACACACAAACAAAACTGGTAAATCATATGTTCTCATTTACAGAAAGGGAATAGTAAAAACTTTCTGATTCAATAGAAAAGAAATCAAGAATAACCATCCCTCATCTCTACCTAAAACTTAACGTCACAATTTCCTCATCTGCAAATCAACCCCTACTTTAAGCTCCACAAGCAACACAGCCAAACCATCACAAAATCGATACACCCAAAGATCGCAAAGAGAAATCAATCGCATTAATGCTGCCACTCCAAAGGATCTCCCCATAAACCAATGGAATAACAATCAAAGAAACCATCCAGAAAAAGAAGATCACAACAAACATGATGAAAAAAGAAAGAAAATAAAAGCAATTGAACCTGAGGAATCGAAAGCAGAATTTGCAGGGGAATTGAGAAGAATCCGAAGAGAATCAAGGCAGGCGCTTAACTTTTAGCTGAATCGTGTGAAGATCGAGAGGGAAAGGAAAGAAGAGAGATTGAAAAGTTTGAGAGACAAAGGAAGGGGAAGCGAAAGCAGAGGGAGAGTGGAACTGTAGAGGAACAGTGGAGAATGGGAAGCCGAATTGCACGCTTAATGTCCAGAGATGGGAGACTGATAAAGGATGTCAAGTCAACATTATAGCCATTTGCAAATTACTATTTTGCCCCTCCTTTTTTAATTTTCTCACATTTTTTTTTTTTTTTTGTGGCTTAAATTATTTGAATTTATTTTTTAAATATATTTTTTCAAACTTATTTATAAATATTTTTTTCAGTTATAAATTTGTGTCATTTCTCGAAAAAAAGAAAAAAAAAAAGAAAAATAGGATTCAAATGGAGTGCCTAGTTTTCGGGAAGAACTGAGCCCTCAACTTTTTGAGGTTCCCATGAGTTAATGGAACACGATCCATTTTGAATGTTGTTCACCTTAGAACATCACCATAGTTTTACAATATCGATGAGATGCATGGTGGCTGAGGTAACTTTAAGTTCTTCTAAGCAGGTTTCTATGACTTTGAAGTATTGTTCAACATTAAAGATAAAATGAGTTCTTTGGCATCTTGGTTCCCCTTTGAAGGCTTTGGGTTCCAAGATCTTCACCTTCTTAATCCCAACATGAGCTTTACTCGGGGTTGATTTTCCATCATCTGTATAGTCAAGTTAACTGGGTCTTCATTCTGGCGATCTATGTCTTAATGGCATTTACCATTGCCCTAAAATCTTCGTTCAACTCGTTAAAAAGTTTCGACATAGTCATTTGTGAAATGTCTAGCTATTTGACCCTTTCTTCCATGTGTAAACTAGAGCTCTCGGAGCTACCTCACGTTCTGAGCTACTTGGACATAGATCTCTCGGAGCTACCTTGCATTTTAAGCTACTTGGACACAGAGCTCTTGGAGCTACCTCACGTTTTGAGATACTTGGTCGTGAAGCTCATTCTTCTAGGGCATTAACCTTAAATATCAAATCTTTGATTGGTTGCCCATCCAAGCGGGTTTATAACATCAATCCCACTGACTTTCTCATCCAAGTGAGCACTTATAGTATTTTGACTCTTGTTTGAATGTTTATTCATCCCAGTTTTGATACGAACCCTATTATGGTTTGAAATAGGACATACTAGATAAATTTTAGAAAATTTGAAGTTCCTAACATGTGCAAAAGCTAGCTAGAGAAGGCTCGAGTAATCCATGTAAGTAGTCCCTCAGAATTTTTTGAATTAATACTTGTAGGGATCGCTGGAATGTGCTAACATGCAAGTATATCTTGCCTTAGGTTGTTAGAGTATGCATGATTACGACTCAAGAAAAGCAAATTGGATGAGAATGTCAGTGTGTTATGAAAAATTACTAAAATGCCCTTATGGTGGAATTTAAGTTGTATGTCTACTCTCTACTATATTAGAATGGAGGATGGGATATTGTGATTTGTGGTTTAGGTGATTGATGGATGTTATCTTCTCGTTGAGTTTGCTTGAATGTTTAGAATATGATTTTTCGTGCTTTAGGTGATCGATAGGAATATCCTCCTAACCAAGTATGCATGAGAGAACAAAGTTAAGAACATGGTGCTAGAGCTAGAACAGTTTTAAACGACAATTAGAAGACTAGACTAGAGTGCACCCAGAGATTGGTTTAGCTCTAAGGGGCTAACCGTGAGCAACTGAAAACGCAATATGAAGTCTAACCGCTTAGACGCTCTAAGAACCTAGTAAACCTCAATGGCACTCAAGGAATTTTAAGAGAACTTACAATACCACTAGCCGTGAGAATAGAATCAATTTAAGGAATCACTACTGCGTGTAGAATAAAACCACATTGAGAGAGGACGAGGAACTACGTAAGTAAATAACACGAGGAACCACTACTGTGTGTAAATATAACTTGCCTTGAGAGGGGACGAGGAACTGCATAAGTAACATGGAAAACTACTACTTGTGTAGAATATAACCCTCCTTAAGAGGGGACGAGGGACTAATATGAGGAACCACTATTATGTGTAAAATAAATCTACCTTAAGAGGGGACAAGGGACTACGTATGTAAATAACATAAGGAACTACTATTGTGTGTAGAATATAAACCATCTTGAGAGGGGACAAGAGTCTACATAAGTAGATAACATGAGGAATTGTTATTGTGTGTAGAATAAACCAATTTGCTAAGGGACGAGGGAGTACTAAGAAAATAATATGAGGAACTACTACCGAGTGTAAAATAAACCCATGTTTAACTCTTGATAGATGCCACTAATGTATGTAGTAAGAGTCGGGTGATTCCTGAACTAGGTCTGAACTGCTTGGAGCCCAAAGACAAATATACGGTTACTTCTAAATGGGTTGCTTACTCGTTTCTCTTTCTTTTTTTAGGTGGTCACATGTTAGAACTACATAGTCTCTTTAGAGTAACAATCTAATTTTGTATTTTGAATTTTTTTTTGTATTTCACTGTTTTTTGGTTTGTAATAAATTTGAACATATAATTAGATTTCCATTTTGTAATAGGTTTCGGGAGTTTTGATTGTTTTAGATTCAGAGATACATTTTCTTTTAGTTGCTTTCTCAAATATTGATACCGTAAGTCAATTTTCACGAACTTTTTACTAACATGCCTGTAATGATAACATTTAGAAAAGTTGTATTGTTACACGACACCATTAACCTTACATGAGTTTCCCTTCTTGCAATTCAAAGTCTTCAAATACCCTTTGATTTTTGAGTTTGAGATTATTTCGATAAGAAGAAATAATGCCAATTAGGTTTTTTTTTTTCTTTTTTTCGAGCGAAAACTTAATTCACTTTTTTTATAATCTAGTTCAAGTAAACTTAATGCTATAATCAAATGGTAAGATAATATTTCTAGTAGTAACATCAACAAAGTAGTTTTCATAGTTTTTATGCATCAATGGGGATACAATCAAGTTTTTAGAAAAATTTGAACCAAAAAATAGAAAAAAAAAAAAATCCCAATTGATCATTGTAACGACCCAGACCCATCTCTAACAGATATTGTAGGGCTTTCCCTCAAGACTTTAAAACGCGTCTCTTGCGAGAAGGTTTCCACACCCTTGGGTGTTTCCTCCTCCCCAACCAAAAGAGTCTCACGCTCTTTAAGAGTCCTACATTAGTTGGAGAGGAAAACGAAACACCAAAGAGTGTGAAACCTTCAGACGCGTTTTAAAACAGGAAACCCGAAAGAGAAAGCCCAAAGAAGACAATATCGATTAGCGGTGGACCTGGTCAGTGAACAACAAAATACCATAAAAACACCATAAAAAGGGAAAAAACATAAAACCCACCAAACAATTGGACATAATTGCAAAAAGAATTAGGTTTTCCCTCCATGCTCTTCCATTATGAACACCAAATAGGCCCAAAAAGGTGAAACATATCATAGAAAGAAGCATTCATTAAAATCTCGTATTTACTTTAAAACATTCCTTAGCCCACCAAAATGTGTGTAAAAATGATAGCTTGATATGATGTGAGTAAAAGAAGCAAACCCAAAAGTTAAAAAGGAAACAAAAAAAAAAAAAAAAAAA